GGATGTACGGTACAGCAGAGCTGGCTGGGGAATTCTGGGAGTTGAAGTCCACTCATCTTAAAGTGGCCAAGTTTGGACAACACTGAGCTAAGCTAATCTGATTATGAAAGGAGAACCCCAAACTTACCACTGTATGCTCTGTTCCTGAGTCTTACGGAGTTGTGCTTTACTGCACACCAGTGCTGTGGGGGTGGGGGTGGGATGACAGCTCTTCTTATTTCTGAATGCTTGGCTGGAGAGCTGTAGTGTCTTCTCAGTTTTATCGTAGAATCAACACTTCTTGGTTTCCCATCCTTCTTCCTGAAACCAGCAGTATGAGCAAGACTAGGAGAGGGTGGATTGCTTGTTAGATTGCAAGAGGGCAAAGGTCTGTATTGGGGAAAAAACACAGCAAGAGAAAGGGGTGGAAATATTTCTTGGGATATCTCAAGGAAGAAGAGTTGCCGTCTTATTTTTTTCCTACTGTTTTTCCACTGGAGCTTTCCTGCTTTTAGCACAACTCAGCAGATATTCCACAAGAAAAGTTGCCTAGCTGTGGTTGTATCTCTAGGCTTGGAAGAGCTGCGCTTACTGTACGTCTTCCTGCCAGAATTTAAGAAAGAAAACTGCAACACTAGTTTGCGCTAAGTATTTAAAAGGAAGGGCTCGTCCGAATAGGAACCTGTCGCTTGATGTGTAAGATGGTTTTTAGTTACTCTTTGAAGGAGGTTTAACTATTCGTCTGTGCGCAGCCTCCAGGCCTGCATCGTCCTTCCTGACAGATGTAGAAATATAGTGGTACCTGTCTGAGGTGAGCAGTTGGAGTTCTTCCTTCTCTTCTGGGAGGAAATCTGTCCTTGGAGCCAAAAAAAAAAAAAAAGCATTATCTCTTTTTTGGTTGCTACACCCACTGTTTTACAAATGATACAGCCAATGGCCTGGCTTCTGAAACTTCCATTATCTTCTTGCATCAAACCCGAAACTCCTACTAGTCAAATACACTTCACGGAAGAGGCATTAAAATCCAAGCACTTGGGAACGGTGGGTCCTGGAGTGTTTTTTATGTGTGAGTGTTCACATTGGTGTGTGTTCTCTCCAGCCTGCAGTTGGTCAGATTATGTCTGTAATCAAACAGATTAAGGAAATAAGATATAAGATGCTTTGGCCCTCAGGGCTCAGCCAGGTAGCAGTAGCCGTGCTTGGTCCTGGAACATGAGAATAAAGTGAACAGCATCCTTTTCTTCGCCCCGAGCCACTACAACCAAACTCTGCACTCAAGAATAACGGATGCAATTTGCCAGGCTTTGATGCTTCCTTGTTTTTTTGGGTTGGCAAAGAGGGAGAGTGATTTTGCAAAGCGTTAAACACAAATTTAAGTTGCTTCCAGCAATTCAGATTTGCCAGAATTTGTTTACTCAGTAAGAAGTCAAGTTATATCAGGTTGGTTCAGATATTGCATTGAGACATGACATGACTTGCTTAGTTTCAGCTTAGTGAGATGTATGAACCCGGCCATTGTGGTATGGAAATCAAGGTTTATAGCTTATTGTTAAGTAGAAACAAGGGTATCATGGTTTGGTAAAAACCATGGTTAAAACAAATAGTGACTTCAGCACAATGTTAAAGCTAGATTGATAGGGGCTCTCCTGGGTTCCTTTCCAGGTCATTTAAGTCATTTTGCATGCGTTGTTGTTTTTTAATTTTTTCCCCTTCATCTTTTAGCAGTCTGTGATTGCTGGCCCTGAATAAGCCTGGCCCTCTTTGGGCTCTTTTCTTCCAAGGTTCAGATTCCTACCCCCCACCCCCACCCCAGAAAAGTACTGTAGTTAATTTTGCAAATTTTGGGTGTGAAGAGGCCTTCATCTTATATATGGATGACAGTATTCGGAATATGTCAGGACCAGCACTCAGAGAATTTAGATTTTTGTGGAGTCCTTGGGGTTCTCTGAGCTTGGTTGTTGCTAGAATGGATGCTGGCACTGAAGATGTTACCTAGCCAGGTAATGAAACGTTTGCAAGAAAACAACCAAGCTCAGAGAACCCCAAAGACTCCACAGTTCAACCCTGGGCTACATATATTCTCTTCAGTTTAGATTTTTATTGTATTTGTGTTCTTGTTACTAACAGAGATGCAGAAACAAGCTTTGCCTGTTCTTGTTGAGAAAAGGTGCATATGTTGAAATTCTGCCTTTCACGTAACAGCGAAAGCAGGAAAATATGGATGTCTCTTGGCCTTTTTATTTCTTGACTGGAAAAAATGGTTTAATTGAAACTAGCCACGTCAAAATGTTAACACCTTGGGAAGTAAAGTTGTGTGTCCTTTGCTCACAACTGAAGCTGATGGCACCAATTGGCTCTCAGAATGAATCAAGAAGTGCCTCTGCAGTGTCAGCTGTTTGCTCAGCAGTGTGACCTGCAGGTATTCAGTTCTTGCTAGGGCTGAGCACTGGGAGGTGGGTTGGTGTAAGAGGGCACGGATAGGTCAGACTGGTTTCTCTCAGTGACATTTTCTTCCCAAGGGAGTGGCAGCTCTGAACGTCATGAACAGTAATCTAACAAGTCAACCTGGATCTATTTTTAAACATCCTTGTTGCTCATTCAGCCACAGTTTTGTAATGAACCATCAGCAGGATTGGCTTGGAGGCCTGGAATTAGCTGTTGGATTTCACCTGTGACATCTCAAGGGTCTTTTCAGATGTTAAGTTATGCCTGAGGACTCTGCCCTACTTGAGAGCAGATTTACATGCCAGTAAATACAGTATCCCCCAAAGGATGTTGCTGGTCCTTGTTTAAAAATCCTACCATAGGAGATCAGGATTGTTGGGCCCAGTATTTTTATGTGCAATGAATTAGGGGTCCCCAAATGCCGTGTGGTATTGGTGGATGAGCACTGACATCACATGGACTGTACAGGGATCCTCCTGGATAGAAAAGGATGAATAATAGTTGGACAAAAAGGTTAATTTGAACCCGACCTCGGTGTAAGGGCATATTCCCAGACTCCCACCAAGACAGTACAACCAGGGGTAGTGGGAAGGGGATTTCCAGCATGGATGGCATGGCTCAGACTTTGGCAATTTTGTGTGAAAAATGCAAGATGGGAGGGTTTATTTAAGCATATTTTGATTATCTAGCTCAGCTTCTCCCAGTTTAGCGGCCTGCAGATGTGTTGGTCTATGATGTCCATTATCTCCAGCCAGCATATGATTAAGGAAGGCTAATCTACCCCTATAGGGTTCTCATGTCTCAATCTTTTCAACAGAGGCACTGAGATTATGGAATAGTTTACCCTTGGGATCTGCCCAGTCTCTTCACCTCTATTTTTAGATGCTTGTTGAACTTAGAGCACTTCTGCACAAGGATTCTGGTCCAGTTCAAAACCAGCTCCAGACCTCTGAAGTCTCATGATATCAGCAGTGTTCATGAGTTGAACAGACTTATTTGTGGTTCAGCAATGGGATAGTTGAACGATAGAAAAATTAAAATTTTCTTTTCATTCTTTCTTTGAAACACCATGGCTCTATGGAGTGTGTGCATGGTTCATTCCCCATCTGTAAGTACTCTAGCCTCACGACCTCCCATCTTCTGAGCTTCAGCCACCTTTGCAGGTCTTTCAAGGGGAAAGGTGACTTGACGACTTTGCAGCACCCCTTCATAGGAATTGCTTAGATATATTTTGGACTAGTTAATGCAAAACCTATCCCCCATCCAGGTCTCCACAAACCACTTCCAGGTAGAGAATTAATTTTTGGAAAAGTACCGAACCACCCTCAGAATAATTGGATGGATCCCCTTGAGGAAAAACAGAATGCTCTGGAATCCTCTGGAATGTAATGTTCCTAGTTTTGCACCTCCATAAACTGCTCAGATACACATGATATGAAATAAGGATGTGGATGGGGTGTGTAAGCAATATTTTATTTTTCCCTTTTGTGTGGAGTGGAGCTGATGGGATATTTTGACACTGCAGGACTGGGACAGGGCAGTGATTCGGTGATCAGAGATCATCTTCAAACTGCTTTTGAGGGATTGAATAGTGAAAACAAGGGTTCAGAAGTGCCCTTATTGTGCTGATGTACCTTCTCGCTTGGTTCTTTCATCTGCTCCTTTGCTTCTGGTTTTGCTTACCACAGTGCAGCCTTCAGCAGGTGGGGCATGGTACGTTTAGTGGTGAAACGAAGAACAAGATTTGGTCATGTTTCCTATGTCCTGATGACTCTGTAGCTGGAATTGATTTCAAAGGAGTTTGATGTAGCCTGGCAGGGCGGGAAATAAATTCTCGGAAAGCAAAGCTGCCGCGAGAAAAATCTGGGCAGGAGAAGAGAGAGGCTGACTCAGATTCTTTAATGCAACTTAAGGAGGGAACATTGGAAAAGCCCACAAGAAATCACCTTTCTCTGTTTGTCAGTATGATGATATCACCCAGTATGTAATTTTTAAAATGAAAAGTACATGGGTTTTGGTAGAGTCTGGTACTGAGACTTTTGCTCTAGAAAGGGCTGTTGCTTTATATTTTATATGGCCTATTTCCTGTGCCTTTCACAAGAGGCGGAACGCATTGAATTGGGGCAGCTTCCTTCAATTATGTTTCTGTCTGATTTCTACCCATTGACAGAGTGGCTTGGGAAGGAACCCTGAGCAAGTTCTTAGGTACACTCGATTCACTTCTTCCAAGATGCTCTTAGAAAAAAGTTGTGGCTTAGCCTTGGGCCCAAATTAAGGCCAGTCTGTGATCAAAGAGCTAAGGCCATACATTCAGTAGAATCAAGGGATAATTGGCTTCCTGTGGACGTTAAAGCAACATGCTGGGGGTGGGAAAAGGAGTGCCCTAAGGTGGAATCACTTTTCATATACAAGAGTATAACTGATACATTGCAAGGTGTCTTTATGTCCTTCTAATATCTTGGTTTTTTTTTCCCTTCATGTTTTTCTCCTGTTCCTATTCTGCAGTCATGAAAGAGACCAGCACACAAGAAAGTAAGAGATTTGTGAATATTGCACGTTCTACCTGTCTTCTTACCTTTCCTGTTTCCTTGCTGGCTAATTTAACTCTGCCCTCCCCTCTTCACCTCCTGTTTTGGATTTGTTCCTAACAATCATGGTTTAGTTATACATCTTTCTATGGAAATCCTCAATTCTGTGACTTTTTCAAAATGGGGCTCTCATGATCCATTCTTGGCCTTTGAGATTGCAGTAACAATGTGGATATGCTTCCGCGTGTTAGAATAAAAACTGGAAAGCAACGTTAAAGTAAAAATCAGAGATTTTTCTGGTTGCTGATTATATTTCTTATTATAAGAAATTCTTATTCTGGAGCAGAAGCATACTCACACACAGCCCTGGCTAATTTATCCCATGTCTATATTTGGTGGCCAACAATAAATAAAGTAATACGCTGAATTCTAGAATGGATTGTTTTTTCACTCATGAAAATGTCTTGTCTGCAGCGTTGTGTGGGGTACCTGCCCTGGGACGGATCGTGGGCGGTTTCAATGCTCAAAACGGACAGTGGCCGTGGCAGGTCAACCTGAACTTTGATGGTCATCATGTCTGTGGAGCAACTCTCATTGCCCCCCAGTGGTTGGTTACAGCTGCACATTGCTTCCCCAGGTAAGTTAAGGTATCCCTGAAAGATGTGGGTGTTAGGAAACAGATGGGACGCTTAGAGAGAGGGTTTCAGGGTGCTGGATTCAGTATCCCAGACCTAGGTGACAAACTGGTGAGACATTGTGGAGTTCGTAGAATGCAATCAGTAGAAGATTTTAACTCTCTCTTAACACTGTGTGACAACGTGGTCATTGCCACTGCTGTTGTTAACCACTAAGAGTTCAAAATGCTTTGGATGTATTACTTTAAAAGCACCTCTGTCCATTGTGAGATTAAGGTGGAGGGAGGGGCTTCAAAGCATAGCTCAGGCCGCTAGATGCCACACTGTGCCGCCTTCTGTTTGGTGAAACTCATTGGCTGTAAATTCAAGGCAGAAAAGGAGGTTATTTTCATACTTCCCACTAGTTTGTGGGATCACGAGCGTAAGAGATAGTAATGATCTCAGTGGCTTCTATACATTTAATGATGAACTAATATAATGCAATTCAGTTCATGGCTATTCATCACACTAGCTTCATACAGCCTTACAGTTAAGAAGTAGTATATATTTAAACATCAGGAAAAAAAACCCAAGTGCATGATTATTGCCTTCTTGCCACGCTTGGGTGCTTCCTTGGGAAATCTGTCTGGCCCCTGTTGGAAACAGAAGAGTGGGTCTTGATGCAGCAGGGATGATCTTACAATCTTAGAATCTCAGAAATGTCCTCTGATGCAAACCACCTTCCTCTCTACAGGGTGAATCCGCTTGATATGTATGAAGTAACACTGGGGGCCTTCCAGCTGAACAATCCCTCACCAGACATCCAAGTGAAGCTAGTGCAGGAAGTGATTAAGCACCCCAGCTTCATTGAAGATGAAGGCTCTCAAGGGGACATTGCCCTGGTGAAACTCAACGAAAACGTTTCTTATACTCGGACTGTACGGCCGATCTGCCTGCCTGCCTCGTCAGTCACCTTCCCGAATGGCATGAAATGCACTGTCACCGGCTGGGGGAATATCCTTGCCACTAGTAAGGATGAAAGATTTCATCTACAGGCTGTAATCCCTATTCTTTCCCAAATCTAGTGCCCTTGGATGGCAGTGATACTATAAATCCCAGAATTTCTCATCAGCTAACTGGATACATTTGGCACTTGTAGCTCCAGTGTACCCAAAAGACGCTGGTTTTTTAATTTTCTGATATAATGTGTTCAAGGATGCCAATATATCTGAAATGGTGAACCATTTGTGTATCATGCAGGTTCTTTTGCTGCAGATCCTTCCCAGCGCAGCCAGGGTTTAGTTTTCCGCCCATCTCATTCCAGACCTGTTTGTCCAATTCAGCATTAGGCAATCAATTTTGGGTATCCCACATTTCATTTGCACGGCACCGTTTTTCTTTTTATCAAAACTAAAGGAGTTTGCAAGGATATAGACATGTAAAATAAAACAAAAAACGTTCCTTAATAATAATAAATAAATAATAACTGACAAGATTTCCATCTGTCAGTTACAAAAGGATCCCACACGGCTTGGATCCGCACGTAAACTATGCCGATACATTATGACATCCTAGGTTTTGGGGAGGAACTCGATGCAAATGACGTCCAACACCAGCTAAGGACTTGGCAGCTGTGATTTCATGTTGATGTGTATAAAATAATAATAGTAATAATAAAAACAGAGCAGCAGTTGGAAAACTTCAAGAGGGTGCAGTCGAGGCCTTGGGGGGCTGCAAACAGTGCCATCTCCTAGACGATAGCTTTGAAGCTGTTAATGGGAAAACGAAAAAGAAAGGAAGCCAATGTTCAAGAAGCTTCAACACTTTCTTTACAAGAAAAAGCTTTAGAAAAAGAAAAGGTTTGGGATGCTTTAGCTTGGAAAAAAAGTTGACTGATCAAGGGGTATAAATGAAATTCATTACCACGAAAATGGTGATGGCTGCTAGCTTGGATTCATTCATGAAAAATAGCTGTATCAAGAGCTATTCGTCTTGGAGATTGGATGTTACTTTTGGGTTGGGGATGGGGGGTCTTCAAATGGTAGTAGCAAGGGAAAAACAGGAGGAGTGGGGGGCATGGCTCCATCTTCTTGTGAGCATTCCAGAGACATCTGTGGAGGAGAGAAAATGCTGGGCTAAGATACATGTTGGACTGATCCAGGAGGAGGTATTCTAATGATTATCTGAGGTTGGTCAGCAGTTGCAGAGGAGACCGCCTGGCTTCCAGGAAGTCCTGAAATCTAGCACTCCTTTGGAATGCCACACCTGAAGAAAGACTGCTCCTCCCATTTACACACAAGACACACATCCTCTAGGATGTGTTGCCTCCACACTGACTTTGTACCATCTCCTTCCCTGTAGCAACCCTCCCCTCGCCCATGACGCTACAACAGCTTGAAGTGCCCATCATTGGTCTGGAGACCTGTAAGTGCCTGTATGGAAAGAACCCGGATCCCGAGGATCCCCACATGCTCCACAGTGACATGATGTGTGCCGGCTTTGCAGGAGGCAAGAAAGATGCCTGTCAGGTGAGACCACCTAGAGGAGAGGAGGTTGGGGGTGCCATTAATTGGCAAAGGGTGGTGGTGGTAGAACATGAGATCCCGAAAACCATGTGTTCTCAGTCACTTTATGAGGGTTGCGCAGGAAAACGTGCGCAATGAGGTCCTGTGCTAATGAGGGTATTCCGGCACTATAGGATAGACCATTGTTTCTCAACCTTTGCAACTTTAAGATGTGTGGGCTTGCTGGGAAATTCTGGGAGTTGAAGTCCACACATCTTAAAGTTGTTAAGTTTGAAAAGCGCTGCTGTAACCTCTCTCCATTTCTGACCTCTCTTAATATTATCAGGCAGTTGTTATCCTATATACTTGAAGACTCTCTACTTTGCTTCTTTACAAAAAAAAAACCCAACCCCCTCCAACTTAATTCCTTTTGTTTTTCCTAGGGTGATTCTGGAGGCCCCCTTTCCTGTCGCATTGACAACGCCTGGTTCCTGGCTGGTGTCGTGAGCTGGGGAGACAGCTGTGGGGCTGCCAATAGGCCTGGTGTTTATATCCGCACTTCTGTCTATGCCAACTGGATTAAGGAAAATGTTCCAGAAGTGCAGCTCAGTGAAGTGACAGCCCGTATAGAACCTGTCTCTGAAGAGGGCTTGTGCTCCAATACTACAAGCCAGGGTGGACCCTATGATGACATCCAAGCCCCACCAGGCTGGAGCAAGCCTCTTGACCCAAACAATACCTCCAACAATTCTGGTTCCGCAGTCTGTATGGCTAGTCTACCACTTCTTTTCCTTCTCCTTCAGAACTTCCTGTGGTAACTTTCCTCTCCCACCCCAAGTTGTGTAGGGAGAGTGGTGTCTTCCTGTTTTTGTACTCATGGGGATGGTCCCACTATTTCATAGCCTGCTGTGCTTCACGTTTTCTCTTTGCACTCTGGATGCATATAATGCAGTGTGACTCCAATTATGAAATGGTACTGTTCCTCCAAAGCACAAGTTGCCTCTAAGTCTTAGGTCTTAATCTAGTATATATCTTGTAAATCCACCTGCAGCCTTGGTCTAGCGTATAGCATTTTTAAAAGTTCACACTTCACTCCTATTCCTGGCCTTTATTCTGAGTGTCTAATTCATAATTCCCAGGAACATCTCCTTTTTGCCCCTTCCCCATCGCCAGTGACTTGTTTGATCTTTTTTTAAATCATAGTTACATACAAATCTGTAAGCCACCTTTGTTAATACGGACACAATTTCATAACTCAGTGGGAGTCTACTCACCTTTTTATGCAAATTCCTGAACTGCTTTTGGGTATGACTAATCTCTCTGTTCAATATTTGGCTCTCTTCTTCAGTTGCATTCCTCGCATACATTTTGAAACATGATCGGTTTCATGACAGGTTCCTCTCTGTCCAGTTCCTCCTTTCCAGCTTATAAGGTGAATTTTCTGTGGCATTCTTCTGTGCTTCCCAACAGTGTTTGTCAAGACAAGGTCCTCCACAATAGTTTGACTTATTCAAAGATCAGAGCTAGGCCCTTTGAAGAGAATCAGTCAGCTGAATCCTTTATCTCTTTCTTAGGATCTAGTTCAGATCATGGGCTGATGTCTTGCCCAACTCTGATAATTCAGAGAGCAGCATAACATGCCCTAAAGTAAGTTCTTCTCCCTAAAGGTCACTATCTTGTCAAGTAGATAATTCCATTAGTAACTTGGGTGATGGGGGATTTTCATAGGTTAGCAATCCTACTGGCGTGGCCTCTGTTATGGTATCCACTTATGAGGAACAGTTCAAGAAACTTGTTGGAAAATTATGATGCAATTCTAGAACCACCAGGCTCTGAAAAGGGTATACTGTATATTCTATGGAACCACTTCCACTAACTTTTGGTTTGCTCGGCCGTAGTCTTTCTTCTGGGCTGCCTATGACTGACTTCATGTTTGCTCATCCCTTCTCCTGGCTCAAAGACTGATTAAAAGGAGACTCAGCAGAGGTGCTGGGACTTTGAAACCAACCTGTTACCTTTTGATCCTTGGTTGCGTGATTAGGCCCACTTCTGTGTGCTGCTTCCCTTGCAGTTTTGCCTGATTAAGCTGGAATTGTGAAGTGGTAGAAATGCAGCCTCTGGATGTTTCTGCTGTGTAGTTTATGAATCCCTCCAAAGTGGGGGATGGGGCAGAGATTCTGGGCCGTTCTTGTGTGTGAGCATGGCAGGAGTTGTGAGAAATATCATCGGGCAGTTTTCGTTCTGCATGAAGTGTCACCAGTTGTCAGCATGACAGATTTATGGAGTAGCGTGACTCAGATGTGAAGGAGATGAAATGGAATGCTTTTTCAAGTATGCTTGGACAGAAATATTGCCGGCATGGACACAGAATTAAAAGGAATGGTACTCCCTTGTGGGAACAGCAGTGATGATTGAAATTGCCCTCTTTGGGTGGTTACAGTTGTATTTAGATGATTTATATTTGCACAACTTTTTTTAGAAAGTAATGTATGCATCATCTTTTGAGGAAGGATGAAAATCAGATGCTGCTTTCAAGATGAAGGGTTTTAATAAAGTGAATGGTAATTCTACACTAATAAGGCTTTTATTTATTACTAAAGGGAAGCTTTGTGGACTTTTTCTCACAAGAAATGTCAAGGTGGAACTAGAGAAAATTCAAAGATAGCGAAGCAGCTGCTTAAAAGCATTAAGATATACTGGTAGAGTTCTTCAGGAGGCATGCAGGAAGTACATGTCACACTAACAGGATCTGTATTTCCTACAGCTGAGTGTGTGACTCATGGAATTGATCTCGTCACATGAGCTGCACACTGAATAGTTGGTATGAGTTGGTCAAGAACCTGAGATTACTGTAGATGTGCAGTTCTCATACAAAACTGTCACCAGACCCAAGCTAATCAAGAAAAACAACCAAGTCATATTTTGCAGATGAGGAACACTAAGGTTGAGTGTTAAACAACTGACACCTTGGAATGTTGTTGTTAGTCAAACCTTGTGGAAATGAGAGAGAGATGTATTAGTAAACCCCTTCACAGCAGTGTAACAAGTTTGTTAACTACTGCTCTTGTTATAAAAAGGACATACTTTCCATGACCTAAGCATATTGATACAAATCAATCTTCATATCCTGCTACAGGTCTGTTCCTCCTCAACAGTTTTTCTCTAGTTTTCACTTCCAAGGGCTGTTTCTTGCCATTTAGAGTTTTTCACTATGCCACCATTAATGATTACCTTCTAATTCTTGTAAATTAGTCAAAAATGGCACAGTACTTGTTTTATAAGTTTTTTATTAAAATATTTCTTAAACAGAACACACTATATATATGGTGTACACATAAAAACTACAGCAGGGCGACTATATGAATAGATGTTTCTACCCAATACATCTACCACAAGCTCCAGGGCCCCTTCCAAAATCACTGGCCCCAGCATTAAAAGCATGCAAGGACCCTCGTGGAAACTGGTTGCATAAATAGTCGCAAGTTTTTCTCTTCGGCCCACTTGATCGGTTCAAGACACTTCTGATCTTTTTGAAAAGTCCCTTCTCATTTGATCACCACCAAATGCAGTTCATACAATGGAAGGGGAAATGCCAAGTAATAATAGTTTTCTCCTATCTGGAGTTCGTCCATTCATCTGGGTAAAGGCTGTCATTGAGAAGTGCACCTAAGGCAAAAGCACGGTTCTTCCGACTTCTTTCAATACTTTGTTTCTATAAAGCAGGGTTCCTCATCCTTGGACGGGTGGACTTCAACTCCCAGAATTCGCCAGCCAGCAAGGGGAAGTCCACCCGTCTTAAAGTTGCCAAGGTTGAGGAACCCTGCTATAGAGAACCATTTACTTTGAAGCTCTGCAAAAGAAATTGGTTAATTTCCTTTTGGTTACATCATATAAGCCCCACTGCACTATGGAACACCTTACAGCTAGAAGTGACATAGGACTTTTAACTGTTATATGTGCCTATTTCCACTTTTTTTTTCCTGAGTCATAGCACCCAAATCTTGACTCTCCTGCTACTGGCTACCAAGCATTCAACTCTATCACTTCTGTTATTTTTGTCAGCAAAGTTGACTGTGGGGCAAGAGATACTACTTCAAAACGTTGTTGCTGTTTCTCTTTTCCCACATTGTTAATAGTGTGGGACAGTGAAAGGATTCAAACTACTTATCTAGTATAACTAGATCTAGTAAGACCTTTGATGGAACTTTCAAACTTCCCTCCTTTTGAAGACACGGAGAGTGACAACAGATCTACCCAGAGAGACTTTTTTCTCAAGAATTACAGAAGACACAGATTTTTCAATATTTTGAACAAGGCTGACAGGTTCTCCAGCACCTCTTTTGGGGAAGCTGATCTTCCTTCCTAGGATAGTCTGTAATCTCTATTTTTCAATACTGCTGATGGTAATCAGTGCCTCCAACTTTCACTGACCACATGCTCCTCAAATATCCCACCCATGTGTTTATTTACTGCTCAGATCTTGTACTACCAAGATTCTGCTATATTTAATAACCTGCTTGATTCTGGGAGTGGCAGTATCCTAAAGTCTCTAGCTAGAGTAGGTTAGAACTGTCAATCGTTGTAGGTCAATAAGAAATAATAGGACTCTATCTGTTCCTCTTATTATAAGAGTGTGGATACCAGTTCTATCTTAGAGTAAGACACCAGGTTTGGCAAGAAGGAAAGAAATGGAGCTCAATGTCAAGCAACAGAAGAAAAAAAGGGATAAGTAGTCTTCATTCAAATGAACCCACTTGGACAGAGTTCCTGCAACACTCGATAACATCTGTCCTTCTCATAACCCTGACCCACCTGTTCCATGTATACCCATTCAGTACAAAACTGACATCAATGCTAAATTACTGAACATCTTCTAAAATAAAAAGTGGATGTATACTGAGGCCAAGCCCCTTCAGTTTTTCATGTCAGTTTTTCCTTCACTTCTTGGAAATCTTGGCTTGCTTGTGCTTGGGAGGTGCCCATCTCAGGCAGAGAGAATCCACTGGAGAAAGGAAAAAGGGAAGAAAAGGGAATAAGGCAAGTGAGAAGATCTGTGCAGGTAAGTGGAAAAAGCAGAGCAGCCAAATAAGTTCCATCACTATCTCTAATGGGCAGGAATGTCCTTGCCTCAACTGAGAATGCCCATGGAAGTTCGACAGATTAACCAACTTGAGTACTAGAGAAACAACTTTTGCAACAGATAGCAAAATGAATAAAATTATGACTTGGGCTACTAACAGCAAACACAAATAAGTGCCATGGCAAATTCCTTTTAGCTTTTAAGAGGCTCTGCTTGCCATTCAGACCACCATGCATTTTACAAGCAGAGTTATGCCTTGTTTGTACCAGATTCAAGCTTTTCAGCCCCACCCAACCAGTAGCTCCTGACTGAGCAGCTTGTTGAAAAGGAAAGAGACCTGGGAGGGGGTACAAGTAATCTCCCTGCAGCTCCTGTTACATAAATGACATATCCTTGAATGTCATCAGCTCCCTGGAAAAAAAACAATGCCTCTTTCAGCAAAAATCTGGAACGCCTGACTTCTTCCTAGATGCCTCTGCATTTACACTTAGCAGATACTGGGCCTACTGCATGATCACCAATAAGCCAAAAGCAAGTTATTTGGCTTAGTTGTGGAAACAGCTTTATAGAGTACTGTGGTGAGAGGTCATTTAAATGTTTGTACTCACAATGTACAAAGTATTTAAGTTTCTCTGTATTTATGTTGTATTACTGCTTGTGCTGCAAAACAGGGAAGATCTTGTGTGCACAAACTGCAGTGGTATAAGCTAGCAAAGATTAAGCATCCAGTTTTGTCTGGAAACACTAATAAGAACTACATACAATAAATATTTACTATTTGCTGAATGCTTTGTTTCCAATGAAATGACAGAATGTCTTTCTTTCTTTCTTTCTGTGTTTGTTCTTGGGTCCTTTGACTGTAATAAACTTTTCATTCAGTATGAATTGAAAGGGACAATAGAGACAGGCAATTCTTTCTACCTAAAACAATCTCACCCTATGAACTTTCACCAAGCTTGAAACATGCTTCAAATGAAAGGCTAGTATTCTCTCACCACCTCTTCTGCATTCCGGTATGGTAAACGTGCACACAGAAGCAAATAAATAATCCTTCCCAGCTATCTTATGGGAGTTAACTATTAACTGCCTGAGCTGGTGCAGTGGCATGGAATCAGTTGCTTAGGAGACTAATAGTTTGAAGTCCATTCCTCAGAGGGAATAAAGAATGTCAGTTTAGCTGGGATTAGAGAGCACAGTAAAGACTGGAAAGAGGTTCTAAGGAACTGGGAAACTAAAAGGATAAGTTTAGAAGCAAGCAGCCTGCAGCACAGGCAATGGCCTGAGGAGAATCCCCAAGGACAAACAGGTGAAGAATGGTGCTTATAGAAAAACTGGGAAACGGAAGAGAAGGCTCTCAAAAACTTTACAGCACCGAAGATCAGGACACACTGTCTGCCATAGGGAGAAAGAAAAACAGACATACTCATATCCACACCCACACAGGAAAGCTAAAAGAAAGAAAATGACCCACATGAGAATGGTTAAAACTGGGAATCCAAAGAAGCAACAGGTGGTGAAATGTGGAATTAAGAAGGAAGTAAGATGCAGACAATGCAATATTATAAGAACTGCACAGAGAAAAAAGGTTGGGGGCTGCAGGCCAAGAAGCTAAATCTAGCAACTTTAAGAATCTGGCAGGAGATCTTGACAGTTCTACTGTCACTGCAGATCTGGAAACTGTATACAGGCAAAGAGAGAAAGAGAAAGAGAAGGAGGAGTGCTGAGTTAAATGCCACATATAGATCTGAACTAGCAAACCAGACTTGGAGTCAAAAGCATGCCGAGCACTATTTTGCCCTGTCCACCATTTTCCCGTTCTTCAGTACCTGTGATAGGAGGCTTCTTATACTGAGCACTTTTGAGATGCTCCTCAACCAACTTTGGAGTGACACAGATGACATGCTGCCCCTTCCAATACTTGACCATGTTCAATGACTGCAAGGTACTGATGATGTCATTCTGCGTGATGCTGGTCATCTGGCTGTGCCAAGGGAAACAACAACATGAGCAGCAGCTGAACAAGTACAAGATAAGGGGAGGTCAGGAGTTCTTTTAAATAGGTCACATTAAGTTCAGTCAAGGCTGCGCCACAGTAAAATGCTACGAAAGGGCCCATGCTTGTTTATTTATGTATTTATTTGATTTCTGTAGCTGCCCATCTCAGCAAGTGACTCTGGGCGGAAAACAAACATAAAACCATAAAGCAATTAAAAACAATTACAGCCAATACAAAATAAATATATATGATCACCAAGTAAAATTATCACCATAAATGTCAGTATAGGCAGGAAATGGGGCCCTTCCTCCCTCAACACCAAGAGGCATTTCTTACTATCACTTGTAGTCAGATCTCCTCTCACCTGAGATCCTTGATGGAAAGAGTGCCTCGGAAATCCCGAAGGATCTCTAGTAACACCCAAGACCAATAGCTACGGTAGCTCAGCTTGCCGAGGTCCGAAAGGGGCTTCTCGGGGGATCCCACTGTGCTTTCAAGTTTGGAGAGCTCATAGCCTATGGAACAAGAGATCAGAAGTCAAAGCCTCAAAAGCATCTCAGTCAGAATCCAGGCATTTCAAGGACTGGGAGCTGAATGAAAAGCTCAGACTGGATCAAGGGTGTGCTATCATGATGAAAAACTCTTGCAGAAACCAGGAACTAGTACACAAACTCACAGTTTCCTGGGGTGGGGGAAGTAAATTAGTAACTTCAAAATACAAGAAGTACTAAATATTTAGGACCATAACTCAGATTAGGTACCCCTAAAGTGATCAGGATGGGAGGGGTGTTACAAAGAGTGGTAGGCAGAGCAGATGCAGCAGAGGTAACCTGTCACCCTTTTAATGAATCGGGCAAAATGGGATTATCTTCAAATCCAACAACAGGAAGCAATTAAGGGACTGATAATCTATGTTGCAGTTCATTCTTGTTATCATTCATGGCTAGGAAAACAAGCTTACTGAATGCAATGAGGAATTTCCCATAACCCCGCCTCTGGTAGGGGGGCAAGGTAAGGATGCAAGCCACATTATTTCCATCGGGGGATTCCTTCTCCTGGGGAAAAAAAAAATCACAGGAGTCAAATAAATGATGGTATGAAACCTAGCACTAACTGGAGAAATCAACATCCAGAAAATCATAGTGTTGTTTCTTTAAAAAATAGTCATCATTTGTAGCCATGATATCTGGCAGCCCTACAGAAGCTTGCTCCACTGTCACGGATAATAAAATCCATGCTTCCTCTTCTGCTGGAAACTCTCTGCTAAACTAACCTTGGTACTAATTTATTTACCTTCTTTTCTCTTTATATATTTTTTTTAAATTATAAAATTATTTACTAAATTTGTATTCTATTGATCATCCAGAGCTGAAGGCAGCCTGCACACAATGCTCTTTCCCAATTTAATTCCAAGAGCAACCTTGTGGCCATAAGGCTTTTCTGAATCATAATGATTGACCCATTATGATTCCAGGGTGCGTGTAGACTTGAATTTAGTCCAGCACTTCAACCCTTATATTACACAGGCTTCTGTTATGGAGCCTACTCCACTGCAGTTTGTTATATTACTTGCGGAATCAGATTTATACAAATGCAATAAAACTTTGTCCTTCTGTCTGTGAATAAAGGCTTCCAAGCACATAGACAATGAACGATGGTATCACAGACTTCAGAGGAAACCAGAGATTCCCAGACACACACACACATGCACACACCTACATACACACACAGCAATTTCTTCTCCCCCTCCCTGTCAGAAGTCAAATTAATTATAACAACTGAACAAACATGAACACGTTTCTTAAAGTGCATTTTCTACTTTGAGCTTTTCTTACCACACACACATTTTAAACACATAGAAATAAGATTCTAAGTGCTCATTTGGGGTGTGCACAAAATAGAAGAAAGAAATGAGAACTCTTAGTTTGAAAGTTCTGCTGAATCATTTGGGTCAGCCATGGTTTGCTAGAAATGAAACCCAGGATGCTTGGATGGTTCTATGCAAAATAAGACAGAGATGGAGTGAATAGGGCTAGTGCACTAGGCCCCAATTCTGTCCTGCATAACTCCCAGTGCAGCACATGCCCTTGATCTTTCCAGAGCCTTCCCTCCTCTCCCTCCCCATAACCACTGCTGATGTCCCAATGGCCTTCCTGCCCCTCCCAATCTTCCTAGGGCCTTCCCTCAGCCATCCCCACCACTCTCCCTGATATTTCCCTGTTCCCTTCTATCCCGAACCGCTGCTACAGTGTTTTGATCCATGCATGGATGAAAACAGCATGAACAGATCAAAAGACCCTAAGTTTGGATTTACATACACAGCACCTAAAACTAGTACTGCACAGAATACTTTGCACATCTGTAATGTCTGTCCTCCCCTTTATATCACAAATTTAGTTACAGTTCACTCTCCACTCCCTGAACACAGGCAGCCAGTACCTTGGAAAAGTAGCCAACAATATGGGCTCCTTGCCTGTCAACCTCAGTAAGGATGTAGAAGACAAAGGGCTCCACATCAAAGTAGAGGGTCTTATGATCCAGGAACAGTTTGGCCAAAAGACACAAATTCTGGCAATAAATCTGGGGGAAAAAATCAAGCATCAATAAGGACATAGGCTTCAGACAAAAAGTGTGAAACCCAGGAGCAAAGAGGAGAAAGACAAGCGTTGGCCCTTTCCTTACCAAAAAAAGAAAAGGCGTCTCTGAAATATTCTTTCTAAAACAATAGCACTTCATTCACAACTTGTTGTCTAAAACCAAAATCTGGTTTTCTAGAGTGAAAGACAGTATATCCAAGTTGTTCAAAAAGCCAAGAATGCATATCAGAAAAATAAACTTTGTGTAAAGTTCCTCTTCTGGAAGCTTTTGAGCCTCACAAATAGCTATCTGCAAACCCAACTGCTCCTTCTTTGAACCAGGCCTATCTGGGCCATTCTGTGGGTAGTCTGGCAGTCTTCCAGAATTTAACCTCCAAAGCAATTCCAGACGACACAGACTTGTTCCAGGGGCTGGCCCATGTCCTGAAATTATAGTTTTGCATATCCCAACTTACAATCAGCCTACAGTTTCTAAGTGATTCTTTGAAAAGAAAGTGAATCTTCTGGCTGCATTTCATATTCTGCATTATCTGATACATTCCATAACTTCCTGATTGGTCTTCCCAAAATACAGATGCAACCAGTTCTTACCTATGATTTTATCCACTGTTAGGGTTCAATAAAACAGCCTCCATATTACTATCCATGCCCAAGATTACCCTTTCCCAACCTGGCACCCTTTAGATATTGATTCAATAGGTGCCACCAAGTTGGTATCGACTCTTAGTGACTATATAGACCTTCTCCATGACGATTTGTTCCTAACTGGTCCTTCAGGACTTCCAAAGGTGCAGATATCACCGCTGTAATAGAGTTCCCCCATCTTGCTGGTGGTCGTCCTCTTCTTCTCTTTCCTTACACCCTTCCCAGCATTAAGGCCTTCTCCAGAGAGTTGGATCTTTGGATAATGCATAATGCGTCCGAAGTAGGATAACTTGAGCCTGGTCATTTGTGTCTTGGGTGAGAACTCTGGGTTGATTTATTCAATGAGCCATCTGTTTGTTTTTAGATATATCTTTTAAATATACTGGACTACAACTCTCAAAATGTTTTTGTCAGCACAGCTTTCCAAGTTATTTGCCATCTTTGATATAGCTGTTTCTATATCAAAAGGCTGAAGGTTAGAGGCTACTGGCCCACACAGTTTCTTATCTGCATATAGTTTGGCTTGTATAAAAGATATTAAGGCCACTACTGATGAACAGCCAGCATTGGAAATCCCAAGAGATTCCTTCCAAGCTTAGTTTCCTTAAACCCACCTTTCTAGGGCTTTGCCTATCAATGAAATAAACATTCTCAGCCACAAGCATTCAGTTAAAAATGACTTGTAAATGTGGGGAGAAGTATATTATATACCTAGTTAATGACTGTTCATGACTATCCGGAGTGACTTTGTATCTGAAGAGCCAGTTTTCAAGAGAGTGAACATGGCAAACTCCAGGTTCCCAAAGTAGCAAACCTGCCACTTGGACCACAGAAAATGAAAACAGTAACAGCTAGTGGAAACCCTGGAGCTGAAGTGAGCTCTTACCTTGTGATCTTTGCCATCCACCTCATATACTGAGATGTTGTTTTTGCGGTAGATTTCTTTCCCTGGTGGTTGTCGCCACTGACATTGCCCCTGAACAACAACAACAAGATCTATGAGTACCAAAAATGCCAGGTATCCACAATTTTTCTGAGTAATTCCACCCATTGACTTGTTCAGTGCAGCTTCTACATTTATTTGGCTTTTGACCAGGTTACTATTCTCCAGCTTCGTTTTAGTATTACTCTTTTAGATTTTTCTGGTTGATAACAGTGAAAATACTGAAACTAAATACGCCAGTTCAGATGTAGTGGTATACACTGATCCCCAAACATTGTTTTCTCTGCCTTTCTGATAGTTTCATTCCAGTTACAGGTTCTATGGTGCTCAATTCTCTCCCACCCCAACCTTCCCCAGCCCTGTGCCCCTGGCAACCATCCTCCCCCTTGCGTACAAGGTGATAGCGGTAAGTCTTCTCAAACTTCATGTACTTGAGGCAGTATTCACAGATCCACAGCTTGGGCTGCTTCCCATAGTCTTCTGGGAATGGTGAGAAATACCATGCATCAATCTCATAGTTCCCAATATGGATTTTGTCCACATATTTCACTTTGGTGATCTGAGGAGAGAAAAAGATAAGCGGTGGCCTAGGAACAAAATTATGCTTCCTTTTCCAATACTCTTTGGGTTTAAAGCCAGACAAGGCTAGACTAGGCACCGATAAACACTCACTGCTTCATGTTCCTTCTCCAAAGCTGCTGTAGTAGGATCCATCTCAGCGTAAGTCTGCAGTGGGAGAAAACACTCTGGTGGGTATAAGCAAACATTCCCTGGAAAAGTCACCTTCTATTGCCAGCATAAGGGTAGCAATAGCACCAAAAGTGCATTCAGGTACTCTGGTTTTTTTTTTTCCACCTCTGGAATGGATATTCCGTAGCATAGCACAGTTCAACCTTCCTAGCCACCTCTCCCCTGCATCACCTTTTGGACATGGTTGATTTCGTCATGTTTGCGCTTCTGATTGCGAGTGATCTTGCGCTCTGGCTGCTCAGAAAGTTCATTCATGTATTGATCAGTGTTCTTCTGCACAGCATCTTTGACTGTCTTGGTGAGGGCCAGGCGGTTCTTATCCACCCACTCATCCAGACGTCGGTTGACTGTGAGAGCCGGAGGAGAGTTAGGAGATCACGGAAATCTCCCCATTCCCCGCAACCAACCCACACAAAATATTCCATCCCACACAAAATATTCTTAATGTTCTCTACCTAGAAATGAAATATGGGAACAAGAATGTCAACCCATCCTGCCTTGCTCGAATCTGGAGTGAACATAGGTTGGAACCTACTGATGGACTTTTAGACGATTTGCCATAGATCAGCAAGGACTTCTGACTGCCAGTGATTTATCAACAGTAAACAAAAATCCCCACCCTAAACAGAGCTTTGAATGTGTGTGTGTCCAAAGACTGTGTGTGACAGCTTTAATTCTAGTACTAGAAAAATAAAACCCTGAATTGACATTAAGCAAAATCTTCCTGATTTCCACCAATAAACACTCCTTCAGTGTCTTCCCAGAGCTCAACATTGAACTCAAGACATACAATTTCTTCCTCTACTTCTTACTCTTGACAAGCCTTTTTTCCTACAAAGTGGGATAACTGGCACAGCTTGGGTCTCATCACACTGTGCTAAGGCCACACTACAATGCTTCTTTATCTAACAACTTATCATTAGGGTGCAGACAGAAACACAAACTTAGGAAACCTACCTAAAACTATAGATCTCCCTATGCTCATCTGATCTCAAAATGACTTGACCAAACAATATAATTTATGGAAGATTGCAGGAAAAAATAATAAAAGTCTTGTTATATTTGATTTGATTAGATCAGTGGTCAGTTGGTTAGGAATTCTAGGAATTATCATCCCAGTTTATCTGCAGGGCATGAGATTAGGGAAGACTGAACTAGGTAAGACACCTCAAACTTTCTCTTCATTATACAGATACGGAATCTCAAAATGGCACTTACATCCTACATAGTGAACATAAAATTCCTCTCTGGCTTCTTGCTCGTTGAGCCGAGACTGAATCACCTCTGCAGAATCTGAAGGGGAAGCAACCACCAATTCGGTTAAAGGACATTTCAGTGATGAAAGGTGAGAAGTTTAAATCAGCCTTCGCCTATACGTTGCCCTCCAGATGTGCTGGCTGGGAATTTGGGCAGTTGTAATCCCAGAACATCCAGAGGGCCCTAAACTGGAAAAGACTGCTGCAAGTTACAAATATTTTATCTTGAAGCATCTTGCTGAAAATAGTTGAAAGAAAAGAGCAGAAAAGATTTTGATAGTTTATCAAGGCTGTATTTCTGCAAGATGTATTATTTTTATTGTACTTATAGCCCACTGCAATCAAACAACTCTCAGCAGCATTAACACAATGTAGGAAAATGATGTTTTGGAATAAACAGCAGGAAATCACCATAAAATCAAAACAATAAACAATAAAATAACTCATAAATAAAACAAAAGTGGTCTGTGGAAGAGTTCAGTGTAAGAGTTCAATTTTCAGAATTTTTTGCAATGTACTCAGGGAGGGGGCCAGCTTGAATTCTACGAAGAGATTGTTCCATTGAATCAGTATTGCTAGAAACTATAAGAAACAGCACCTCCAGGCTTCAGCTCCTGTTATCTCCCAAAAGTGGGGCACTAGGAGCAGTTTATCTCTAATTATTAGGAAGATAGTGGCCCAGTATAACAGAAAAATAACATATAACAAAAAAGACCATAAAACACATTTTTCCCCAAAAGATAGCAAGCCAGCATGGAAGTAGCCTATAAAACTTAAGTTCATTCTTACCAGCTAAGCTAGAGGCACTGATGTGGGCATTGTGTAACCAAGGACCCACAATATTATAGGAGTGCGAACACAGAGAAGTCTCCACATATTTCTGTAATATGTACAAGGATACTTTAGAGAAATGTAACAGAAGAAGAAGGAGAATGCATACCCCATGCATGTTTAGTTGCAATTAAATTATAGAACGTTCAGTGGAGTACTGTTAATCAATGTGCCAAGGATCAGTCTTAAATAACTGTACTGAGACTTGAAGCCATCAGGCTATCAGTCTAGCTTCTGGTATCATATAATAATTTATATGAAATAGATCCTTCCAGTGGCCCAAAAATTGTGTTACCTCCTTCAGAACCTAATGTGATAGCTTCCTTCTTCTCTTTGGGGAAATGGATTAACCATCCTTTTCAAAAGAGAAAGAGGACGAGACCTGAGTATTTCACAACTATGTGTGGCTCATGTTAATGCTGTGTATTAAGCTACGCAGGATGGATTTGGCTTTAGATGTTTTATGGCACTTTAGGAATCTTTGAAATAATTTGAGATTAAAAGTGCTAAATCAATAATCATCTTTATAAATAATAATAAGAATAATTAAACATGTATGGTGTCTGACTCTCAATGACTCTGGGTGGCTCACAACACACAAAGGAATTACAATTAAATCAATAAAAGATAGAGGTGAAAGGACATCCTGCATTCATTGTGAGGAAGGTAGTAGATAAAACCACCTGCTTTATTTATTTATTTGATTTACTTCCTGTCTTGCCTACAAGGAAAGGCAGCATACACAGCACTCCCCTCTTGCGCTTTTCCCCACAACCCTGTTAGATATGTCGGGCTCAAACAAAATGACTGGCTCAAAGACACCCAATAAACTTCCATGGATAAGGGTGGACTTGAACCTGGCTTTCCCCGGCCGAAGTCCAATACCTTAACCACTATAAGCCACTGACTCTCCTGATAGCTGATCGAGGTGTATTTCGCAAGTTTTATGACGACGACGACAGCCCTTTCCAGCGGGAAATATATTCATAGCGCTGAAAAATGGGGGCGGCCGGGCGGGCGGGCAGACGGCCCGTTCCCGTCGCCTTCGGAGACGCACTTACGCCACGTCCCGTCCCCTCGCCGACACAGGTAGGTCTCTCCAATCTCCACGGTGACTTCAGCCTCGCGAGAGGGCGGCGACGAAGACGGGCGGCTCTGGCTGCCCGGGCCCCCCGCGCTGCCTTGCCTCGGCGCCTCCTCTTCCTCTCGCCCCCCCGGCCCCAGGCGTCGTGGGTCCGAGCCGGGGGGGCTCCCCCGGTCCCCTCCCCCGCCGCCTCCCTCTGCCGCGGAGGCCGTTTCGCCTCCTCCGGGCCCGGCCGCCGCCGCTGCCATGACAACCGCCACCGCGACAACTCACGCGCAGCACACTCCCTGTTCGCAACCAACAGCTCCCCCCACCCTCCAGGCCCAAGCCGGAAGTGATTTCTTTAATCGGAAACTTTGTCATCATAGAGATATAACTTCCTGGCGATGGCGCGCAAGTGTGACGCCATCGAGTCCGGATCACGTGATGTAACTCTTGCCACTCACCCAGCGCAGCGTTGCTGGGAAACCGAGTTCCCTGACAGATTTGATTCACGTTCGTCATGGCAAACAGTAACGTTCCCTCGGAGAAGCCTGTGCTTTCTTTTCTAAACGCACCGCGCCAGACACCTTACGGTCCTTCAGATATTAATTTACAAATTCCAGAAATTCCAGCCACTGTAGCCGATGACGAGGAATGCTGGGAGTTGTAGTTCAGGAACATCTGGAGAGTCTGTTCTCTATAGCAGTGTTTAGCATGATGGGAGTTGTGCTTTACAGCTGTAGCCCGAATTAAGGTGGACGCCCTTTTATTCCCCATGGGAACCATTTTTGGTGAAAACTGCAGGATAAAGAACAAATCAAGTATAAATCATTTTACCCTGCATCATTATTTTCTATATTGCAGAAACTCTCCCTCTCCCCGCTTGTGTTTATCAGGCCACAATTGGGTATATCAGTATTTCTCAACCTCAGCAGCTTTAAGATGTGTGGACTTCATCGATTATATATGTATATATATATAGTAATTAATATCAA